AGCCATTAGGAAGCGCGTAACCCAAACCCTACCACTTCCAGTCTTTTAATTTCCCTAAGCTTCAGTTTGCCCCTCTGGAAAATGAGGATAGAGAAACAGCCGCACAAGGCTGGAAGCACAGCCCCTGGGGTCACATTGTTTGATTCTGCTCCTTACTAGCTATGCACCTCTAGGAAAACTTTTTAACTTTGCTGTGCCTCAGTTTCCTCATCTACCTAAATTGGGATTATGATAAGATCCATGGAGATTTGGCAGGATTAAATGTGTTGATATATGTAAAGTACATAGACTAGTGTCTTGTAAAAGATTGGTGCTATCCTTGTTTTTTAGAGATTTTTGCTATACAGTGCACAGGCTCGCTGGAGAGACAGAGACAGAGAAACAGAAAGCAAGAAATCACCTCTCAGGGAGGATGGCCACACCACAATTCCTTCTCCTCCATTCTCCTTTCAATATATTTTGAGCATGCACGCACTCGTGCCCAGCATGAGCTTCAAGCCACTAGGTAGGACTCCAATCTCAGTTGACCATGTGGGAGTCCAGGAACATAATCATTCCGCCATCTGCTGGTCCTACTGTCTATTCTTCTTATTAATTATTAGTACCACTTACCTCAGAAGACTCACTGGAGTCAAATGAGATCAATGTATATGCCTTACGGTTTGTGCTAAGTGGTAAACACACAGTGAAGAGCAGCTCTGACTGTTCCTGCGATTTGTGCAGGGCCCTTACCAGAGGCATTGTTCTGCCGACACCAGCTCAAAAAATCTCCAAGCCTGCCATACAGAACATCACACAGGGGCATTAAGCGACGGGTGTTCTCTGCATAGCTAGTAACAAGGAGGTGGTTATTTTCCCAGAACAGGGACTAAGGAAAAACAAAAACAAAAATTAAAATACAAGATAAAATCAAAATGAATTTCTCAGAACGGTATCATTGCAATCATTCAGGTAGCTCATTTCTCATTCAACCTCTGACTTGCACAACTGATCTTTCTTTTTGTCTTTGTTCACCCATCAAAGAGTGCTACCATCTCGCCTTCCTTTCTTCCAAGTGTGTCATGCAAATGCTAATAAAATGTTCTTCAGTAGTACAAAATCTATATACCAGCAGTAAGATCCCTGCCTTAAAAACGATCAAGGGTCTTGGGTTCCAATCCTGACCCTGCCATACTAGATAGGCAATCTTCAAGGCAGCTAATCTCCCCGGTCCTGTTTTACAGGCAGAATGGGGTTTGTGACCCCTTTCTTTCTTCCACAGTTGTGGTTAGGATGATATGCAGTCACAAAAGTCTCTCGTGCCCCAAGATTCCGTATCCCCTTTCCCTGTTTTGTTTTTGTCCATAGCCCTTACAATCTGTGGGCAGACATTAATATACATTTTATTTGCCTCTTTATTATCTATTTCTTTCCTCTATAATGTAATAACGAGGTATTATTTTCCTGTTTTATTCTCTGCTTTATTCTCAGTGTCTAGAAGAGGGGGGGCTGGCACACAGCAGGCACTCCGCTGGTTTTCAGATGGATGGACAAATAAATGGAGAAGAAATGAACAGAACTGACAGTAGGTTAATTCTTAAAGTGCCTCTGATATGCAGGGAAAAGAATCTTGCCCTCACCCTCTCCACACTTCCTTATCTTCTCTGATACCCTGGGTGGAGCTGGTGCTTCACTCTGCCACTCCTTAGCACTCGGCCCTTGCTGCATCAGAGCACATGTCACTTCAGTAAATGCCCCTGAAGGCAAGGACTGCTCTATGCTGGATGAAGGAGTTTTCAGTATCATCAGGCCAATTCTGTGAGTCTAACTTTCCTCATCATTTTAATATCTGCTGGCAGTCTTTGGTGACATTTAACAGTGCCAGCTTCGGAATCCATTAGGAAGAGCTGAATCCCAATCCTACCACTTCCAGTCTTTTAATTTCCCTAAGCTTCAGTTTGCCCCTCTGGAAAATGAGGATAGAGAAACAGCCGCACAGGCTGGGAGCACAGCCCTTGGGGTCACGTTGTTTGATTCTGCTCCTTACTAGCTATGCACCTCTAGGAAAACTTTTTAACTTTGCTGTGCCTCAGTTTCCTCATCTACCTAAATTGGGATTATGATAAGATCCATGGAGATTTGGCAGGATTAAATGTGTTGATATATGTAAAGTACATAGACTAGTGTCTTGTAAAAGATTGGTGCTATCCTTGTTTTTTAGAGATTTTTGCTATACAGTGCACAGGCTCGCTGGAGAGACAGAGACAGAGAAACAGAAAGCAAGAAATCACCTCTCAGGGAGGATGGCCACACCACAATTCCTTCTCCTCCATTCTCCTTTCAATATATTTTGAGCATGCACGCACTCGTGCCCAGCATGAGCTTCAAGCCACTGGGTAGGACTCCAATCTCAGTTGACCATGTGGGAGTCCAGGAACATAATCATTCCGCCATCTGCTGGTCCTACTGTCTATTCTTCTTATTAATTATTAGTACCACTTACCTCAGAAGACTCACTGGAGTCAAATGAGATCAATGTATATGCCTTACGGTTTGTGCTAAGTGGTAAACACACAGTGAAGAGCAGCTCTGACTGTTCCTGCGATTTGTGCAGGGCCCTTACCAGAGGCATTGTTCTGCCGACACCAGCTCAAAAAATCTCCAAGCCTGCCATACAGAACATCACACAGGGGCATTAAGCGACGGGTGTTCTCTGCATAGCTAGTAACAAGGAGGTGGTTATTTTCCCAGAACAGGGACTAAGGAAAAACAAAAACAAAAATTAAAATACAAGATAAAATCAAAATGAATTTCTCAGAACGGTATCATTGCAATCATTCAGGTAGCTCATTTCTCATTCAACCTCTGACTTGCACAACTGATCTTTCTTTTTGTCTTTGTTCACCCATCAAAGAGTGCTACCATCTCGCCTTCCTTTCTTCCAAGTGTGTCATGCAAATGCTAATAAAATGTTCTTCAGTAGTACAAAATCTATATACCAGCAGTAAGATCCCTGCCTTAAAAACGATCAAGGGTCTTGGGTTCCAATCCTGACCCTGCCATACTAGATAGGCAATCTTCAAGGCAGCTAATCTCCCCGGTCCTGTTTTACAGGCAGAATGGGGTTTGTGACCCCTTTCTTTCTTCCACAGTTGTGGTTAGGATGATATGCAGTCACAAAAGTCACTTTCTAAAGCGTAAGGTGCCTCAAAATACATTACTTTTACATCATACTTTACAGTTTCACTATAGTGTCTTCATACAAGAATAATACAAATAACAGCATTCCTCATTCATTATCACTTGGTCTTCAGCTGTAAGATCAGTTTATTCCTACACTGGAAGGTCCCCAAGGATGGAGGCTGTTTTTTAAGGTTGCATCCTTAACCCTTAGCTTAATGCCTAGAACACAGAAGTAGTTCAGTAAGTTATTTACTAAGTTCACCCCTGGCAACAAATCTATGAGAGGAGAACAATTATACTTCCCCTTTTTACTCACAGGAAGGCATATAAATATACAACATATAGTTCAAAATCATGTTTCAGTCTAGTAACTCTGTGAGCTCCATTTACCTGCCTTTACAAATGGTATACAGTAGTGGATCAGGTTAAGAACAACAGTCAGACAAATGAAAATGGAATCTTCTAACTTTAGATTTGAGGTACTGAGTTTTTTGTTTGTGTGTTTGTTTTTGTTTTTGTTTTGGGTTTTTTTGAGAGGTTTTTGCTATGGGGCACATGTGCTCACCAGAAAGACAGAGAGAGACAGTGAGACAGAAAGTGAGAAATCACCCCCGGGAGGGGGGGGGATTGCCACATCGCAAATCGCAATCCCTTCTCCTCCATTTTCCTTTCAGGATCTTGGGCATACATGCACACATGCCCGGCGTGAGTTTAAGTCACCAGGTCAGGAACGCAAACCACGGTCAACTACATAGGAGTCCAAATGACATAGGCATTACGCCAATTGCTAGTCCCGAGGTACTGTTTCAGGCAAGTATTTTATGTCAATTATCTAACTTATTTTATTTGGCCTTTGAGTACAGATAGAATATAGACATGGTTTTTCTTAGACTTGTACTGAATAAATACAATCTTATGTCCCATTAAAAGAAGAAATGGGGGTGGGGCAGCCCGTGACTTGGTGGTTAAGTCCCACATGGCTGACTGTGCAGTTTGATCCTGGATCTAGGAACTTAAACAATGCACTGTGTGTGTGTACATGTCGCAGATCCTGAACGGTGGGAAAAATGGAGGAGAGGAGCTTGCAGCGTGACCATCCCCCATGGAGGATGCTTTTTCATACCTATCCTCATTTCTCTCTCCGAGTTAGTGCACATGACTTTTGGCAAAGTTAAAAAAGGGGTTGGGGGGATGAATTGGTCTCCTGGGAGGATACTGTGATTAAGGGTTTTCTGAATTACTTAAGGTTCAAGCCATTGGGTCAGATAGGATGGATGTTATTCAGATCGACCAGACATGGAGGCCCAGTGTAAAAGACATGGCAATGTCCTGATGTCCTTGGGGACTTACTGACTTGGGAAACGTCCTGCTGACAAACGAGCCAGAGACAGGAGCACTGTCGGGGCACAGCTGCCTTTCTGCAGAGCTCGGCACGTGCACTGTAAGAGTGTTTGTTCGTCGATGACTCAGTGACACGGCAGGAGGCTGGGGCAACCAACCTCACAGTCACCTGAGCACAGTCCACCCCTACAGCGACAGAGATCGGCATTTCACACGAGCTGGCTGTAACGTTACCTTGTCTCTGGGAAGTGAGTGCCAGGAGAGGTTGATAAAAAGGTCATAGTCCGAGGGGAAAACTGAGCAGGGATCCTTGTCCAGCACCACCTTAAAGGCTTCCCAGATGGCTGTGCAGTTCTTGTTCCTGTGCAAATGTCCAAGTTAAAACAATGATGACGCTTTGCCACTTCTCTAAGGACTTTACAAGCAGTTTTGTCACATACTGACTCTGTAGCACTAGACCTAAAAAGGGACAAGAAATTGTCATGGCTCCGGCAATGGATTTAGAAAGCTGACACTGACAGTGTTTCTCAGAACTGAGGAATATACTTCTGCCCCAGGCTCACCAAACCTTGCAGAAAGGCACCAGGTTAGGTGGTGGCACTCCTAATGAACTACTCAGCCTCCCAGCTTCAGTAGTCTTCACTTAGAGAGAGTCCAGGCTGCTTGTTCAAGTTCATCATGGGCTGGGGTACCAGGTGAGCCAGGCCGGTGGGCTTAGTGTGAGGAGAGGCTTCCAGGGGAAGGAGAGCCTGCCCTCCGGGGCTGACACTCCCGAGGTCCATGCCAGCTGTCCAGCATTTCCCAGAGCATCTGCGACGTTCTATTTCTGATGCTGGCTAGTGGGTAACACAGTGCTCCTTGTATCCCTCTCTGGTCCTTCTTATTTGCCTGAACTGTATCACAATAAAAACACTTTCCATCCTGCAGTGGTTAGCATGTCACCGTACACGACAAAAATAACTGCAGAAAGAAAGGATGCTCTGAAAACAGGAAAAAGTGAACCCAAAGAAGGAACAGAAGTCAATAAGAAGCACAGTGCTGCCAAGAAACATCCTAACTTTAAAAGTCCTATAGCTTAGACAATCCGAAATGTGAGTTGCTGAAAGATCCGTACTCTAGGAATTCAGCTGGAGACCACATTGGGGTTTGAGGATTCTGACCAAGCACAGATTGGCTAGCAATGGACTGTCATCCAACTCTCCTGTCCTCCAGACACCTGCCTCTGCTCTGCACACACGCACACTCACGCACGGGGGCCTCACCTCTGGACCATCGTGCACCCCCACCCGAATGCTCTCCACGCTCCACTTCCGGCCTCACCTGCAGATCGTCCTGTCCAAACATGGCTCCCCTGTCCTGTAGAACCCTGACCTCCTCATTACACGCCTTTCACGTCAAGACTCACCCCATCCTCCTCGCCCATCCCTTGAGACCCCACCTTCCCCTCCTCGCACTCTGCTGCCCTTGAGACCCCACCTTCCCCTCCTCGCACCTCTGCTGCCTGCCGCCCGCCCGCCCGCCGCGCTCACCGCTCCTCCCGACGCAGCAGCGAG